TGTGGCTCAAGTGGTAGAGTGCTAGCCTTGAGCTGAAGAGCTGAGGGACAGCGCCCAGGCCCAGAGTTCAGGCCCCACGACCGGACGCCCCCCCCAAAAAAGAAATTTGCTGAGAAAAATGAAATATATATTGTATGACAAGATTGTCAAGAAATATTTGGAAACAAATTGTTAACTTTTATTTGACACTGATCCTTGGGCTTGAACTCATAATCTGGGCATGGCCTTTGAGATTTGTTTTTGCTCAAGATTAGCATTCTACCACTTGAGGCAAATCTCCACTTGAGCTTTTTTCTAGTTAATTAAGTTAAGGGTATCACAGACTTTTCTACCCAGTTGAGCTTTTAACTGACCTGTGATCTTAGATAGAGGCTTCCAACTGATTGAGAAGATAGGATTACATGCATGTGCTACCAGTGTTTAGCCCTGTTAAATTATTCTGTTCCTTTCTTATCAACAGTTTGTCAATAGAATTTCTGAAATTGGAAATATTTAAATGTACAAAACTTGAGTGTTTGTAAGTACATAGAGTATAAATGTGTGTGTGTGTGTGTGTGTGTGTGTGTGTGTGTGTGTGTGTGTATGTGCCTGCCAGATATAAGTCTTGAACTAAGAGCCTTGGCTGTGTATCTGAGATTTGTTGCTTAAAGCTACCCTCTTAATGCTTGATCCATAGCTCCACTTCCCACTTTTTTTCATCATTAAGATGAATCTTGTGCTGGGAATGTGGGCTATATAGAGTGCTTGCATAGCTTGCATAAAGCCCTGGGTTCAATTCCTTAGTACCACTTAAACAAACAAACAAAAAAGATGAGTCTCACTCTTTCCTGCTAAGACTATGTTCAAAAATGAATTTCAGATCTCAGCCAGCTAAGTAGCTAGTATTACAAGAATAAGTTGGTGACACCCAACAAGGCAATTTTAAAGCTGAAATTTGTTTACTTACATATCCTGAAAATTATTACAAAGATCCAACACACCTCTGTTGTTTCTATGGCCCACTCTACCATATCTTCAGATAAATATAGTTGATGGCCATGTTGCATATGTGGTGAAAACTTTCCTACTTTCACTTTCATTTCAAGACCTTCTGGAAATTTCCAAATATTCACAATGTCATACTTTGCCTCCAATTTCCTTTTATCATTCAAAATCACTTGATCTCCTGCAGGGTTGTGAAACTGAATGTCCTTCAGAATAGGATGAAGCTAAAAGAGATACATTATATTATGGTAAAGTACATCCCAGAGATAAGAAGAAAAACCTGAACTACAAAAGCATCTGATTGCCTTAAATTTCTGATTCAGAATTCAACAATATCAGAGACATGTGATGAATTATCCCAGAAGAAAATGTATGAAAGAATAAAAGTAATGTTTTTGAATCCTGGTTACTCAACAAAGAAATAGAAGGCTTCTTTTCACAATAGACTAATACCATGTAATACTAGGCAATTTTCAATTGCCTAGCTACAGTTTTCCACAATGACTAATTTTGTGAATGTCTATAGTTTAAACATTGTAAATTTTTAATAGGTAAAGTCAAACAAACTTGATAACATGAAAATATTGATAATTATATTCAGGAGGTCATTGTTTGCAATTGCTTAAGAAATACAAAGGGAAAGTTGATTTTGCAGTTTTCAGAACATTAGATATTAACATGTTGATGTTATTTGAAAGTAAAAGAGTTTTTAGAAACTTGGAATATATCTTGTCCTTGTTAGTGGCCTACTTTTCCTGAAGAGCATATGAACACATATCTAGAGAATCTCACAGACATTTAGAGAAATACAGTTTCTTCAGTTTGGGGGAAAATACATGATATATTTAATTTCATATATTAAGTAACCTCCCACAAAGGGACAGTCTTCTTAGTGTGTGTGAACCAACACAGAAAGCCTTACCTGTGCAGTATAAGGCATTCTTCCTTTTTTATTTTCCACTGTTTTGGCTTCTGTTTGATGAAGAAGCATTTCATGGAGAGCCTGGGCCACAGCATACACAGCATTGTATATATTGTAACTGTATCCAGACATAGTTACACCAAAAATGTGCATAGGCAACCAATCCAAGGAGGCATCATGTGGACAGTTCCCCCACATTACACAGTCAGACTGAGAATCTGAACAATTAAAAAAACAAAACCACAGCCTGGCAAGGAAAAAATCTTCTGGATATTTGGAAGGGTTTATTGCCTTGACAAAATCCATGAATGCAGAAATATCTGGGTGATGGTGTGAAAAAATGAGAGGTACATGAAATGAACCAAGAATGAAATATTTTTTCCTCATGATGAAATCCCACTGTGAGTTTGTGATAAAAACTTTTCCTTTTATTAAAAATTGCTCAATAGCTATCATTACATAGTTTAGGAATTCATTATTAACATATAGAATGAAGACTTTAGCTGAAGATTTATTTATCTGGTTATAATGTGCCATGAATTTCAAAATATTTGAGTCGGCCTGCTTTGGAAATGATAGCTCAATATCTATACAAACTCGGTTCTTGGCCATCTCTTCTTTCAATTCAGGAAGAATCCACAAACTGTTCTCATCTTGTAAGGTTAACAGTGCCACCCAATTCCAGCTGAAGTGAAGCAGTAATAAGACTATGGCTTTGGCTACTGATGTGTCCTTTGAGGCCATCTGATAGAGACCAGGAAACTTGTTACTGTCATTCAGGGCATAATCAAAAGGCCCAAAAGTAAGCTAAAGGGATTGAAGATAGGACACTGCATGAATGAGAAAATTTCCATCCATCATAATCCAAATCATGATATATATTATATAACCATGGGAAGTAGGTAGAAGCTAGGTTTTCCTTTTAGGTTTTGAAAAACATTAAATTGTTAAAATTATATAATGCATCAGTTTGGTTCTATAATGACTCTTGATTATTGCCACAGTTTCTAAAAACTCCTGTCACCTATCTCTACCCCACATTCCCTGATATTACTAGTTCCACTTTCACAATATGCTCTGAATATTATATCTTCCCATCTATCTACTTCTTCTTCCTCTGTCCCTTAACAGATACCCTTAACACTGGTCCTCTCCCTCAGAGAAGACATACTTCAGCATTTTTTTTCATTTTTACACTGTTTTTCAAAGAGTTTGCACCATGAAACTCTACCCCAATATGTACCGTACTTTAGCCAGAGTTATCAGGCATATATGCAAATCTATGTGTATGCCATATATTTTTGAATATTTCATCTTCCTATTTTAGACCTAACATTATACATGAGAGAAAACATACATCCTTTCTCTTTCAGAGCCTTAATTCATTCAATATATCTTCCCTATGAGTGAGTATGGATTTTTGTATGTGTGTGCATGTATGTGTTCGTATGATAGTACAAGGCCAAGAAATCATGGCCCTATATACTTCTTGCTGTTTTCCCTCAAATTAGCACTTGAACCACACATTACAGTCTACTTTTTTCTCATTAATTAGAAATAGGTTTTTTGATTCTCTAGGATTACAGATGTGGGCCATTAGTACCCAGCTCAACATACATTGACATTTTAAAGTCATTTTCCATTTCCTGATTTCTTAAAGAAAATTAATGACAAGATTTAAAACTCCAAAAGTGTGTCTGCTCTAAAATTCCCTTACCCTTTTCCAAACCATTGGGACTATAGATATACCATTACCTTTCAATATTGAACTTTGAATGACAAAATTTGATTGGCTCATGAATACTGTATCATTCTTTTCTAACACATGAAATGATACTAAGGTAGACATTATTAATATCCACAACCCCTCACACTCTCACCTGTGGAAACTTGTAGATGTTTAGCAGGGTCGCAATCTGAGAAGACATTGCCCCTGAAGGTCCTGTAAGTACTGCTATAAACTTGTTCTCTGTCATACAATTATAGTTGGGAATCTTATACTTCCCAAAGAGGCAAGTGAAGGGATTTTTAAATTCTGTCCATATTCCATATTGAACATCATAGATATCAAACCCCAGAGTCAAGTTATGTAAAAGTTTAGGATTTTTGTTGATCTCTTCAATAGCAAAAGCCAAGGCCAAAACAAACTGGTAGTTCTTAAAGGTAGACCTGTATAATGAACAAAGAAATTCAGGAGGAAAAGTTCAAACTTACTTATGACTTGGAATGCATGTTTATCTGCCAATAAATATGTGAAAACATTATCATGAGACAGCAAATATTAAATTGCCATCACTTTGGTTAACTGCCCACACCTGTGTGAAAATACTGTGTTTCAAGTCTCCCAGTATATGTATGGGGTTATTATATTGCAGGTTGAGCTAATAAAATTTCAATTTAATAGCATGTTTCAGAAGCAAAACATCGTTTAATGAAGATTCTATAGGGTGCTCTGTTAATAAACTCAACATAATGAACATCAGATCAAGCAGATCAAGAGTTTAAATAGGTGAGGGAATTTTATTCTTATTTATGTAGGGCAACCAAATAAAAGGCACTCAGTATTGAGAGAGGAACCTCCAATATGGGGAATAAAGAAAGAATTGTGAAGAAGCTCTATATTGAAATCCAACGTCCATGGCTACCATGGGATATTGCACTAACCACTATTCTCTTCTCAATACATTTATATTCAGATATAGGAAAGGAAAAAAATACATAAAGGAATTAAGAAGTATTTTTGTTTTTCCTTGTCATGTCTATGTGTGCAATGATGTCTGTGAGTGCACATTCTAAAGAAATTTATATAATGAAATTATAGCACATTGTTCAAAGAAGGAATCCATGGAGGCAACATATAAATACAAATGATTCAAAATGGACTGAAAGAACCCAAGGAAACACAAAAAAATGGACATTAAAGCATGTGAATTTTTACAGAAAATAAGCAGGCTATAGGTCAGACAATGAAGGAGATAGAAGATAGTTCTAAAAATGTTTTTAAAACTCGGTGATAGCTGGGAGCCAGTGGCTCATGCCTATAAACCTAGCTACTCAGAAGGCTGAGATAGGAGGATCACAATCACAGTTCAGAGCCAGCCTGGGCAGAAAAGTCCATGAGACACTTAGCTCCAATTAATTACCAGAAAGCAGGAAGTGGCACTGTAGTTCTAGAGCATTTGCCTTGAGCTGAAGAGCTCAGGGACAGTGCCCAGGATCAGAGATCAAGCCCCACAACTGACCAAAAAATTAAGCAAAATGAAACAAAGCAAAAAACTTGGTTATAAAATTGTTTATGAAAAGAAAAAATTATACAAGACAATTTGTGATCATGAGGAGAGTAATTAAAGGTTATTTGAAGAATTCATGGTACCTACAAAGAGAAAGCTAAATGAATATCACAAGATGGAAAGGGTCCAATGAAAATATTGTCTCTAAGCAAAATGATATGGGAGAAGACACAGATAAACCCAGAAGTAAAAAAGTCCATATAAGGCCAAAATAAACTTCAGTAAAGTGATAGAAGCAGGGAAAGAAATAAAATTAAAGAAGTAGAAAGGATTGATGGCAGAATACATGACATAGAAGACAGAATAGAACAAAAGAGGGGCCAATTTTCCAGAACAAATGTGAGATGCAAAGTAACTTTCAACAATTTCTAGGATCAATAAAAATGCCTAATTTAAGACTAGATATCCAGGAAGGAGAAGATCACACAATGAAAGATGTAAGAAACATATTTACAAGAATTCTAGCAGAGAAGTACCTATGGAAAATTATACACACATTCAGGTATATGAAACCATAGAGGTCCACACAGACCAGACTTGAAAAGAACATTCTACTGCTACACCGTAATTCCCACAGGATCAGTAGAGACCCAGAAAAGAATCCTTGAATCTATGAGAGAAATATTTGATTACTTATGATGGAAAGGCTGTCTGTCAGAATAAATATAAATTTATCATCTGAGACCATGAAAGTAAGGAGAACCTGAAAAGGTGTATGCTACAGCTTACAAGCAAATAAATACCAACTAAGTATAATGTACCCAGTGAAGCACTCCTTAACTGAAGAAACTGCACAACAAGAAAAATTGGAATAATTTTCCCCACTTGTTGTAAATCCAGAGCTCTGGCTGTAGAGCTGACAAGTTATTTAAAGTCTGAGCCGTCTGCACAGTATGTGACATGGCGACAGCGGCAGCCGTCGCACTCGCAGCAGCCACAGCTATAGCAGTTACAATGGCCGCAGTGATGCCAAAATCTCTCTTATGCCTAAACAAGATTACAGCTTGAGAAGCATCTACTAGCACAGGCACCCAACGTGGGATGCGTGCAACTATAGCTAACGGATACTGAGAACTCCAGCAGGTAGCATAATAGCAGGTTTCATTAGTACAAGCACACACATCATCTGAGCATATAGAGGTGTTGTTAATTACCAAAAACACAAAAGCGGAAACCACACACACGGGGGTAGGCTGATAGCTAATTACCGTATAATTCTTACTAAAATGACAATTGGCACCCACAGTACGGGCAGTACTAATCAAATTACAAGTCATGTTTGCTATAAAAAAGTGACCCCCTTTTTTATACGGCTCCTTTTCATCTGTTGAATAAGCATTCTCACTTCTTTCTCCTCTAACTCGCTGGAACTTCCTCTTTCTGATTTTAGCTCAGACAGATCTGGGTATAATCGCCCCCTTTTGCCCTGTTCACTGTATCCATTTTCACTGATCGCCTTCTCTGACCTCTCCTCCTGTAACTGCTCCAGTGCTGACTGTCCGTTTTCTATCATCTTACAGCAGCTCTGATCCTCCAGGCAGCCCCTAATCAACACCCAAATGGGGCGGACTCCTGCCCTTAATGTGCCCTGTTTATAGGCAAAGTCCAAATCCCTCCCTAACTTTTCCCATGAAGCTGCTGTGAGGCTCCCGGACACTGTGAACCAAGGAGCTACAATGTTGCATGCATCAAGGAACCTCTGTAAAGTATCCTTTTTTAACTTTAGTCCTTTTGAGCGTAGTAGCTCATCCAGGGCCAGAAAAATTGGATGTGATGTCGTGGCACCCATCTTAATTACTAAAAATTTTATTCTTTGTTACTTTTACTTTAGGCCTGTATTTCTTCCCGGGTTTCCACTCTCTCTTTATCTACAGAGAAGAGCCCCATATTATGCCCGCTTTAATCGCAGATTCCCACTTACCTGGGAACTTACCCCTGCTCTTGTCGAGGATTTCCCTTTTCCTGGGAACTTACCGGTGCACCACCCTGACCACAGAGAGTTCTGAATCCCCGTACGGGCCACCAGCTGTCGCATCCACCTCGACCAGCAAGGAAGACGCGACCCGGGATTCTTCTCAAAGCAGTTTATTCAGGAACCTTATCTGCAAGCTTCTCTCCCGCTTGCTTCTCTCTAGCTTCTCTCTCGCCCCGCACCCGCACTCCGGTTATAAGCCTCCTGGATGGGCAATCCCGAAGTGCCACGTGGCATATACCAATAGGGTCACAAACACGTAAGCAAGCCAGTAGCCAAGCCATAGCCATATAAGGAGTTGTTTTTCACAGAGAGCACTCGCCATCGGGAAGGCGGAAGGCAGAAGCCAGCACCAACTGTAGTCGTGGCCGTGCCATGCGGCGCCGCCATCTTTGGTCGGCTCCCGCAGCTCTCCACACAAACTGAGAATCCAAGAACCATAGGAAGAACCCAGTTTTCACAGCCCCCAAGAAGGTGGATAACATGGCAGGAATTCCCAAATAACTCTCTGTCCTATCTCTTAACATTAACGAACTTAACTCTCCAATTAAGCGACATAGACTGTCTACTTGGATTAAAAAACAAGATCCTTCTATCTGCTGCCTTCAGGAGTCACTTCTTGCCCATAAAAACAAACACATTTTCAATGTTAAAGGCTGGAGCAAAATCTACCAAGCAAACGGCCCCCATAAACTGGCGGGAGTTGCAATCCTAATATCAGATAAAATAGACTTCAATTAAAATTTGTTAGAAAAGGTAAAGAAGGTAGCTAGATACTGATTAAGAGATCTCTCCTTCATCAGGATATTACAATTCCAAATATCTATTTGCCAAACAATGGAGCACGCAAATTTATCCAAGAAACACTACTTTCCCTCAAATCCCACATAGATCCAAAGACATTAATTGTTGGGGACTTTAACACACCACTCTCCCCACTAGATAGATCAAATCAGCAAAAACTTAACAGAGAAACCGCAGATCTAAACAACTGCAAAGATCAACTAGATTTACCAGACATCTACCAAATATTTCAGCCAGCAGAACATGGACTATTTCTCAGCAGCACATGGAACATTTTCTAAAATAGACCATATTTTAGGCCACAAGGCAAACTTGTCCAAATTCAGAAACATTGAAGTTATACCTTGCATTCTCTCTGACCACAAGGGAATAAAATTAGAACTCAACACCAAAGCCACCAAAGAAAGTCTAGTAACACATGGAGGCTGAACAACACACTGCTGAATCACGAGTGGGTCATGGAAGAGATTAGAAAGGAAATTCAAATGTTCATGATATTCAACAAAAATGAGCACACAAATTACCAGCTCCTCGGGACACAGGAAAGGCAGTACTCAGAGGCAAGTTTATAGCTCTGAGTTCCTATATCAACAAACTGGAGAGCTCTGAAACCAACAATTTAATGAGACATCTGAACCTCCTTGAAAAAGAGCAGCAAGATAAACCCCAATCCAGTAGACAGAAAGAAATAATTAAAATTAAATCAGAATTAAATGAAATAGAATCCAAAAAAACTATAGAAAGAATCAACAAAACAAAGAGTTGGTTCTTCGAAAAAAATTAACAAAATTGACAGACCCTTAGCAAATCTTATCAGAAAAAGACAACACACCCAAATAAATAAACTCAGAGAGGAGAATGGAAACATCACCACAGAAACAACCAAGATTCAGAAAATTACAAGGGAATACTTCTAAAAACTTTATGCTAATATGTTTGACAACTTGGCAGAAATGGACCTTTTCCTAGCAAATATCGACATGCTGAAACAAATGAGTTAAACCATCTTAACAGGCCCATATCAAGCTTTGAAATAGAAACAGCAATAAGAGACCTCCCAGGACCAGATGGTTTTACAGCAGAATTCTACAAGGCCTTCAAAGCAGAGCTCACGCCAATACTCCTCCAACTCTTCAATGAAATTGAAAGAGAAAGTTCACTACCGAACACATTCTATGAAGCCATCATAACCCTCATCCCAAAACCAGGCAGGGACTCATCAAAGAAATTGAACTGTAGACCCATTTCTTTGATAAACATTGATGCAAAACTTCTCAACAAAATTTTGGCCAATCGACTTCAACAATTCATCCAAAAAATCATATACCACGATCAAACAGGATTTATTTCAGGGATGCAAAGCTGGTTCAATATACGCAAATCTATTAATATTATTCATCACATCAACAGGAGCAAGAATAAGAACCACATGGTTATCTCAATAGATGCAGAAAAAGCATTCGACAAGATCCAACACCCCTTTATGATGAAGGTTTTGGAAAAATTAGGAATCCATGGAACATTCCTCAATACAATAAAGGCTGTATATGACAAACCTACAGCCAG